GGCTCCTGTTTGATCAGCAGAGATCAGGAAGTGGTTTTTTTTTTCACTGTCTCTGTTTTGTTTTACCACTGTAGCCTGCGGGGCTGGTTTGTATGCCTGCCTCCCACGGAGGGTAATTTGGTTCCTCTCTCTCTGACCGAGGCCACACCAGAGCACTGAGCTCCCACCGCCGCCTCCAGCCGGGTCGGCGCAGCCCAGGCACCAGCGGGACGACCTAGCATCAATAGCCCTATTATTGCTCTTGAAGTTTCTCTCCGCTTCCAGACGGATGCTGCGCTACTCCATCACAGCTGCAGTTGCTCCCTTCCAGCAAATCCCAACGCAGCACTTAAGGCAGGGATTTATGGGCGGTTTTGAAAGGCATTTTGGAGTGAGAAGGAGTTATGGGAAAGGAAGTCGAATTCCCACCATTCCCTGAAAAATTCTCCCAACATCTTTCACGAGCAGGCTCATTTACTGGTCCTTTCCTCAGAACAGAGACAAGCTCTCAGCTGTGGCTCTTTGTTTAGTCCAAAGCATTTCCCGACAGCAAGAAGCAGCAGGGGTTATTCTGGTCCCGCTTGCAAAGGGTCAGGAGACCGAGGCGAGCTCTCGGAGTCTGGCTGCAAGGCTCTGCTGGACCCAATTTTTTCCCTGACATTTTTGTGGATGCTGGTAGCTAAATGAAATTATTTGTTCTCAAGCCACAGATTATTGCCAACCTCAGGGCAAGCGTTGCTGACTATCCGGCTGATTTTGACTTGCGTAGTGGCTTGCAAAGTAAAAAGTCATGGCACCAGAGTTACCAACAGTGGCAGCTATAAACGACCAGCAGGGATGTTACCTTACAAGCTACATCTTATCTGTGTTGAAGCTTTTCAGGAACAAAAGCTCACCTGCCGCAAAAGTAGCAGTCATCCAAGCAGGCTGGATTAGCAGAATAGATTCACATCAACACTAAATTTCACAAGGACAGGGGTTTGAAAGACTTTATTTGACACCTTTGCTGGATGTCACAGCTTGTGAATCTAACAGATCTGCACAGTGTAAAGTGAGGCCAGGCTACTTGCTGTGAGCTCTAGCGTGCCAACCAGCCACAGGAACAACCAGGGTCCACAAGGACCTTCTTTGACTTTATTAAAAGGGAATATGTTGCTCCTGGCTGATTCTGGCACTTCAGGACAAGGGTGAGGAGAAGTAGCGGAGGCATTTCTGTGAGTTAAGTGCGATGACATTCATCAAAACAACTGGGAGGGACTCACTTTCAAAACAATAGCAGATACATACATTGACATGCACATGGTAGATACAATCTGTAGGAACGCAACCACCAGCTCATCCACACAGTCTAACCGGCTGCGCGTTTGACCTGAGGCATGGGGAGAGCATCTCCCATTCGAGAGAGATCTTTTCTCTCTTTTTCACCTTTCTTTGCACAGATCTTGACATGCTTTTCTCTCTTTTCTTGTCACAGTGCTGCAGATGTGGGCAAGACTCCTTGGGGTGGGCATGCAACTGGGTCCAGGCTATTCTGCATGTGTACCCCAGCAAGTCAAGGCACAGGTGCAGGGAGCAGGGGCTGTTCAGGTGAGTGTGAGCACGGGGACACCCTGCCCCGGCCACCATGGGAGTTAGGGACGTGCACAGGAGCAGGGTGGCTCGAGAGCTTCAGGTTTCTGTTCCTTTCTGCCCAAAGAAGAGAGAAGAGGGGGACAGCTGGAGGAGCAGAGGCGTATCTGCTGCGCCAGTTATCTAGATGCATGCAGGCCAAGGCAGAACAAGCTCTCAGGAATCAGGACAAGTGCAGACCCCAAGCTTGCCAAGGTACGTGGTGAGACCTCAGTGGGTTTTCGTCTTGGCCCAGGGAGAGGGATGAGCAATGTGAGACCAAAGCATGGTGCTGAAGAAAGAAAACAGAGACATCGTGGGAGAGGGTGAGGGACGCAGGGCTAAGAGAGAACGAGGGAGGCACTTCAAATACAGGCTGGTCTGACCCGTTCCCCCTCCTTTTTGGTGACAGAGGAGAGACAGTTCCAGTGGGGAGACTGGCAGAGAGAAAGGCCTTTTCTTCTCACTTTGGCCATCAGAGCCTTCCCCTCCGTGACAGAGGTCCTTTTGAAATCCTGTCTCGCCTCTTCACACCTCAGTGCGGAGCAAGAGCTGCAGAAACCTCCCTCTGCCCAGGCAGCCTGGCCGGCTGCTGCTGCAGGGTTTGTGCAGGGACCCAGCACAGGCCCTGCAGACACGGTGGTATTTCAGCTCGGCTGTGGGAACGAGCTCTGTTAAGCTGTTGCCTCACTCCACCTTAAGGGCACGTAAGTGGGAAAAGCTGGTAATGCAGCGAGGAAAGCATGGGGATTAGCAGGCAGCCAGTTCGCTAAGGGAGCTGGGGGGGGGCTCCAGCCTGCCTTGCCGAGTGCCAGCAGTGCTGGGGAGGGGGTGAGCTGCGTCCGTCCCACCACACCAAAATTAGGTGCTGCAGCTGGGGGACACATCACAGGGAATCAGCAAGAGCAAGTCTCTCTCTGGCAGCTCTGAGTCCCCAAGGAAATAAGACAGTATTTCAAGGCTGGCTGTTTTCCAAAGGAGAGCAACGCTGGGCTCCACAGAGGGGTTTGCTGGAGGGACAGGGTTGGGATCTGCGTGTGCCCCCTCCCTCGTAGCCGGAAGGGTCTGGAGTACAGCCACGTGCAGAGAAGTGCATCAAACTGGATGTGATTTACGTTTGCAGGCATGACGAGGGAGAGGACGTGTAATGGCGAGGCAAGGAAGGCAGTGCGAGGAGGGAGGGAAGAGTAAAGAGAATTTTCTTTACGGATCCTTGGCTTCTGCAAAGCAGGAAAGATGCCTTTTCAGCTGAGTTTGTTCTTAGGCCTGTGGGCAATGAGTGCTGAAGAATTCCTGTCTCCGAAGGGGAAGGGAGGGTCAGAAAGCCCCGATTTCAGTCGCCCAGGAGCGACAGATCCTGGATGTCCCAACCCTGATCCCGGGTCCCTGCGCAGCAGCGCCCAAGGCAGGAGGCACCGTGTAAGCTGGTGGAACAGGGACGCCAGCGGAGGCTGGTGAGAAGAGGAACGTTGCGATTTGGCTGCTCTTGGACGAACCCTCTCTCAACACGCCCGCTGGCGACGGCATCCTGGGCACGGCTGCTACAGCTGCA